AAAATAAAATTTTTTAAAAAAGAAAAAAAAAACAATAAGGTCAGGAATAAAATAAAAGATGTCTGTTGTCATATAAAATAAATAAATAAAAATAAATAAAAAATAAAAGAATTTTTGAGACTGGCATAAGAAAAAATATCTAAATAGCTCTATATCTATTAAAGGAACTGACCTGATCATTTGAAACCACACATAAAGAATACTCCAGATCCAGATAGCTTTACCAGTAACTTCTTCCAAATATATGAGAAAGAAATAATGCCAATCTTAACAAATTAATCCAGAGAAGATAAAAAGGAAACGCTTAGTAACTCATTTTGTAAAACCAAAGAAACCCTAGTCTCAAAATCTGACAAGGACATTGTAAAAAAATAAAATTAGAGATCAATATTCCTCATGAACACAGAAAAAAAAATCCTTAAGAAAATATTAGCAAGAAACTCTAATCGTATGTAAAAAAGATAATATACTATGACCAAGAAAGGTTTATTTCAGGAATGCAAGTTTGGTTTGATATTTCATATTTGAAAACCAATATGATTCACCACATTTACAGAATAAAAGAGAAAAACATGGGATAATTTCAATAAACAAAGGAAAAGCATTTGACAAAATTCAATACCCATTCATCTTAAAAAAAAAAAAAAAAAAACTCTCAACAAACTAGAAATGGAAGGGAACTTTCCCAATCTAATAAAAAATATACATACAAAAACATACATGTAACATCAAACTTAATGGTAAAAGGCTGAATTTCTTTCCCCCTTAAGACTAGGAAGAAAGCAAGAATATCCACTCTTATCGTGTATATTTAACCATTGCACTGTAGGTTCTAGCCAACGCAAAGGCTAAGAGAAATAAAATTATAAATATTTTTTAAATCGTCTTCTTGCAGAAGAACTGGTAGTGTGCATAGAAATGCAAAAAAATCTACAATCTACTAAAACTGATACACGAATGTAGTAAAGCATAGGAAACAAGGTCAATACACAAAAATTACTTGCATTTTCATGCTCTGGCAGCAAACAATTAGAATATGACATTTAAAAATAATATTTATAACATCAAAAAACATAAAATACCTAGCAATAAATGTAATAAAATATGTGCAAAACTTCTACATTGAGAAATAGAAAATTTTTTTGAAATAATTTTTTAATAGGAGCTGACCAGTTGGCTGAGCTCATTGGAGCACAACCTTATTTTTTTTTCATTCATTTTCTTTATTGAATCAAAATCGATTATACATATTTTTGGAGTTGAACATTGAGATATGTTGATCAAATCAATATTACTAGCATATATATTGTTACAAATCGTAATTATTCTTTATGTCCCTTGTCCAATCTCTCTCCATTCCCCATTCCCTCCCCCTCCCCTCCCAATTACCCTAGATTTCTTCTCTCCTTCTGAAAGAATCATGGTTACTCTGTTAATTTGTTGCCTACATGATCTGTCCAATGCTGAGAGGTGCGATCAGGTCCACCAATATTATCAAAGAGCAGATGCTTCTTCTGTCACTCTGAAATGGGCTTTGTGGAAAGAGACATCCTCTTCTTTTCTTTGTCTCTGCTGGTGACTCCCCTTGTGTCAATGCACTCCTGAGGCTGGCGGACCATCTGCGTGCTGGTTGTGGTGTCTAGCCACTTTCGCAGCAGCCATAGTTATTGTGGTGGCTGTGGTGGGTCACCCACATGGAGGTGCTGTTTTTGGTATGCTCCTTGGCACTGGCAGTATGCCTGATTGTGGGGTGTGTCTGGTCCCCTTCTCCATGCCTTGGGTCACTGGGCGAGACCCAAGGAGCTGGCGTGGTGTGCCTGGTTGTGGGAGGAGGGTCTGGTCCCTGGCTCCATGTCAGGTCACTGGGAAGGACCCCAGGCGCAGGCTAGGTGTGCCTGGTTGTGGGAGAGAGGTCCCGTCTCCTTCTCCATGCCTTGGCTCCCCAGGAGGGCCCCAAGGTTCTGGTGGTGTGCCTGGGCTGGAACTAATTGTTTGTCCTTTTCTTGCTTCTAGCATGGGGGAACTTCCTGTGAGAACCAGTACTTGAGCTGTGTGGTTGTTCAAATTGCTGCTTTGCTGCTGTTTCCCTAGGGAAGGCTTTTTGTGCAGCTCAGGGTTTAATGGTTGATCTTATAGGTACTTCTGGCTCTCCAGAGACCTGGTGGATCTGTGTTATGTAGAATCTCTGATGTGGGCCTGAGTTTTCTCATCAAACTGCATCCCATGCAATTCCACATTTCTGACCATTCTCCTCTGAGTGGTCCTGTGCTGATTGGGGGAAGGTCTGCTGTCCTTGCTGTGTCCCAGTGTTCTCCCGGTGTCCCTGTCTCACCCACTGCCTATGCTCCAAACACTTCCCATGGGACAGGCCCTGCACTGGTCCCTTGGGATGACTCACCGGCCTCTGAATGGCTCCCGTTTTTCAGTTGTTCTGGCTCCTCGCTCCTGCACGGGTCCATGGGAACCCTATTAGTGGTTTTGCTGGCCTGGGGGCCACCAAGGCCTCTTCTCTCCTGCTGCCTCCAAGTAACTCCATCTGAAGGGCACAGCTGTGGCTTCTGCCAGCTCCTGCTCCATGTGCTCAGCAGCTCTAGCCTTAAAGCAGCTCCAGCCCAAAATGCTCAGAGCAGCTTTTTCTTTCTCTCATCGTAGTTTGTTCCACCTTCATGAACTCCGTAGGTCTCTCCTCTTCTTCCCCTGAACTCCCGCAGCCCCAGCTTGGCTGATGTTACATTTTTATAGTTGTAAGTTGGTTAATTTGTGTAAGAGAGTGATGCTGGGGACCATCTATTCCACCATCTTGACTGGAACCCTGGAGCACAACCTTAAAACACCAAGGTCATGGATTCAGATCCCCAGTCTGGCCAGCCAGCAAAAAAAAAGTTGGGCTTGAAATAATTTTGTAATAAAATAAATGAGAAGATATACTATATTTATGGATAGGAAGACTCAAGATGTTTAAGATGCTTGTTCTACCATAATTAATCTATTGTGTCAAAACAATTCTAACATAAATCCCAAGATTTTCTTAGAAATTCACAGCCTGAGTCTAAAATTTACATAGAAATTACAAACGACCATGAATAAGCTAAGACAATCCTGAAAAAAAGAACAAAGTTGCAGGACTCACACTACTTAATTTCACAACAAAATAGAGTCCAAAGATAGCCTCATGCATATATGGTCAATTGATTTTCTAGAAAAGCTCTGCAGTCAAGGGTAAAGGCAACTCTTTTTAACAGAGTATGCTGGAGCAACTGGATACCACACTTTAAAAAATTAACCTTGGCTATTGTAAAGAGTGCTACAATGAACATTGGGGAACCGGTATACCTTCAAGTTGATGATTTCCATTCCTTTGGGTATATTCCCAGTAGTGGGATAGCTGGGTCATATGGTAGATCTATCTGCAACTGTTTGAGGAACCTCCATACCATTTTCCATAGAGGCTGCACCATTTTGCATTCCCACCAACAATGTATGAGAGTTTCTTTTTCTCCGCAACCTTGCCAACATTTATCGTTCAGAGTCTTTTGGATTTTAGCCATCCTAACTGGGGTGAGATGGTATCTCAGTGTGGTTTTGATTTGCATTTCCCGGATGCTGAGTGATGTTGAGCATTTTTTCATATGTTTGTTGGCCATTTGTATATCTTCCTTAAAAAAATGTCTATTTAGCTCTTTTACCCGTTTTTTAATTGGATTACTTGTTTTTTTCTTGTAAAGTTCTTTGAGTTCCTTGTATAAGACTGCATTGATATGGTTAAATTTCACTTCTTTAGGGATGGACTAAGTGGCTAGTATCATTGCTTACAAAAGTGTCTTGAAGTTGATGAAGTTTATGTTGAGAAATAAAGTTTATGTTTTGTATTTAAAAAAAAAAAAGAAAAGAAAAAAAAGAAGAGGAAGCATTTCGCTAAGGAGGTAGGATCTATGCCAGTGTTTCTCAACTAAGAGCAATTTTGCTTCTCAGAGGACACTTTACAATGACTGGAGACATTTTTGGTTGTCACACTAGGGCTATCACACATGTAGCTAGTAGAGGCCAGGGCTGCTGCCTGTGATTCTGCCTACGATGGTATCAAGTTGAAGGTATACCTGTTCCCCAATGTTCATTGCAGCTCTCTTCACAATAGCCAAGAGCTGGAATCAGCCCAAATGTCCATCATCGGATGAGTGGATATGGAAAATGTGGTATATCTACACAATGGAATACTACTCAGCTATAAAAACGAATGAAATACTGCCATTTGCAACAACATGGATGGACCTTGAAAGAATAATATTAAGTGAAACAAGTCAGGCAGAGAAAAAGAAATACCACATGTTCTCACTTATAGCTAAAAATAAATAAATAAATTCACACACATACATACACACACACACACACGCACACACACACACACACACAAACAAAACAAAACAAACAAAAAAAATCAAAAAACCGGGGTGCGGAGGGGAAGAAGATATAATAACTACAATTTTTTTGAAGTTGTTACAACAAGCAAACGGAAAGGACATTCTTGGATGGGAGGGGGGAGAGGGAGGAGGGAGGGAGGTTTCGGTAATGGGCCATAATAATCAACCACATTGTATATTGACAAAATAAAAATTTAAAGGAAAAAAATAAAAAATTTTTTAAAATTTTTAAAAATAAAAACTTCAAATAAATAAATAAATAACCTTGACTGTACACAAACATTAAATTGAGATGATCATAGACTTGAAAGTAAATGCTAACACTTTAAGGGCCAGCCCGTGGCTCCCTCGGGAGAGTGCGGTGCTGATAACACCAAGGCCCCAGGTTCGGATCCCTGCATAGGGATGGCCGGTTGGCTCACTTGGGAGAGCATCGTGCTGACCACACCAAGTCAAGGGTTAAGATCCCCTTACCAGTCATGTTTTAAAAAAAAATGCTGGAGCTCAGTCTGGTGCTTCGGCCCCATTTCTGTGGGTTCTTGCAGTCGCTCGTCAGACAATCCCCCACCCCCAGCAGCCAAAATGGTGAAGCAGATCGAGAGCAAGGATGCTTTTCAGGAAGCATTGGACGCTGCAGGAGAAAAACTTGTAGTAGTTGACTTCTCAGCCACGTGGTGTGGGCCTTGCAAAATGATCAATCCTTTCTTTCATTCCCTCTCTGAAAAGTATTCCAACGTGGTGTTCCTTGAAGTAGATGTGGATGACTGTCAGGATGTCGCTTCAGAGTGTGAAGTCAAGTGCATGCCAACCTTCCAGTTTTTTAAAAAGGGACAAAAGGTGGGTGAATTTTCTGGAGCTAATAAGGAAATGCTTGAAGCCACCATTAATGAATTAATCTAATCATGTTTTCTGAAAACACAGCCGACCATCAGCTGTTTAAAACTTGGAATTTTTTTATTCACATGAAGTATGAAGATTATATCCACGTGTTGTCTGATTATAAGTGACAATAAAATATTGATTCTACTCTTTAAAAAATGCTAACACTTTAAAGTTTCGAGAAGAAAACATAAGACTATAGAGTAGGCAAGGAAATATTTAGCAGGGCACAAAACACACTGAACTTAAAACAATTAATAAATTAGATTAAAAACTTTGCTTATCAAAGATACCATCAAAATGAAAAGGTAGTTCTGGTCAAGATGGCAGAATAAACAGTCCCCAGCATCCCTCTCTCCCACAAATCAACCAATTTACAACTATAAAAAAGCAACGACAGCCAAACTGGGGACACTAAAGCTCAAGGGAAGAAGAGAGACCTACGGAGTGCACGAAGGCAGGAGAAGCCATGATGAGAGATAGAAAAAACCGCTCTGACCATTTTGGGCCCCGTCCACTTCAAGGCTGGAACTGCTGAGTGCAGGGAGAAGGAACTGGCAGAAGCCACAGCTGTGCCCTTCATATGAAGTTGCTTGGAGGTGGCAGGGGAGAAGAGGGCCTTGGTGGCCCCGAGGACAGCAGACCACTAATAGGGTTCCTGTGGACCCACATAGGAGCAAGGAGCCAGAACAGCTGAAAAAGGGGAGTCATTCAGAGGCCCATGAGTCATTGCAAGGGACCGGCACATGGCCCATCCCATGGGAAGTGTTTGGAGCACAGGCGATGGGGGAGATGGGCCCACCAGGGGAACACTGGGGCACAGCAAGGACAGCTGATCTGCACCCCAGTCAGCACAGGACCACTCAGAGGAGACTGATCAGGAATACAGAACTGCAGGGGGTGCAGTTCGCTGAAAGACTCAGGCCCAGACCAGAGTTTCCACACAACCCAGGTGCACCAGATCTCATGAGAGCTGGAAGTACCTACAAAGTCAACCATTAAAACCTGAGCTGCACAAAAAGTCTTCCCCAGGGAATCAGCAGCAAAGCAGCAATTTAGTTCAACCAAAGAGCTCAAGTACTGGTCCCCACAGGAAGTTCCCCCACTTTAGAAATAAGCAAAGGACAACAAATTAGTTCCAGAGCAGAGTTTAAGTGATGGGAACAGCAAATAATCCAGCACAGAACTGAAAGAAAAAACAAAGTATCCACAACCAGAGACAGAATTTGATATTAACTAGTAAAGGTCTCATTTCACCAAAGAACACCTATAACACCTAGAAGGACCAGAAGTCCCCTGGGCTACCAAGCCAGAAGGGGGGAGGGCCAGGGCCCTCAGCAATGCCATCCGACACCCGCAACCAGTCCCGAGGGTGGGGAGATGGGCCTCAGCTATGTCCCCCCAACACATGCAGCCAGCCCAGCAGCAACTACCAAGCCACAACAAGAAGGGCCCCGGGTTCCTGAGCTGGGATGGGGCTGGTGAAGGCTTTTGCCACACATCCCTGACATCTGCACCCAGCCCAGCAATGACCAAGCCACCGCTGGGAGCCCCCTGTCTCCCCTGTGGGAATGTGGGGGGTGCCACAGGCCTCAGTCCCATCCCTTCTCCTTCCTCCTTCTTCCATCCCATTTCCTTCCCCTTTCCCCCTTCCCCTCCCTCCCAACTGCTCCTCAACAACATCCTAGAATGTAAAAAATAATATTAATAAAATTACATTTTCTAAAAAAAAAATGAAAAGGCAAGCACAGACTGGGAGAAATATTTTTAGTAATATATCTAATAAAGAATTTATATCCTGAATATATAAAGAACTCCCACAAATTGATAATAAAGAAAACTCATTTTTAAATGGATGAGAATCTTGAACAGATACTCTACAAAAGAAGAGATGTGTTTAGCCAATAAGCACATGAAAACATGCTTAATATTAATTGTCATGGAAAGGCAAAGTAACATTACCATGAGATACTATATCACACCCATTTGAATGGGAAAAATTAAGAAAACTGACCATACCAAGCGTTGGCAAGGATGCAGAGCAACAGGAACAGTCGCACTTTTGCTGATGGGAGTGTGAAACGGTGCAATCGCTTTGGAAAATGGTTGGTGGTTTCTATTAAGTTAAACATACACCTACCTTGTGACTTGACAATTCAACTCCAAGGTAAATACACAAGCAAAGTAACATACATATTCACAGAAAGACCTGTACAAAAACATGTATAACAGTTTTATTCATAACAGCAAAAAAAAAAAAAAAATAGAAACAATCCAAATGTCCATTTACAGGAGAACAGATAAACAGACTATAACATATCTAAACAATGGAATACTACTTATAACAAAGAAGCTACTGATACGCAGACCGACATGGATGAATTTTTAAAACATTGTAAAGAGTGAAGTCAGACTAAAAAGCGTACATAATAATCCCATTTATTCACATTCAATAAAAGGCCAAAAATGGATCAATGGTGACAAATTATAACTGTCCTAGTAAGGTTAGGATGGAATTGACTGGAAAGAGGCAAATGGGAGGTTTCTGGGGTGATAGGAAAGTTCTATACCTATAGGCATGTGTTGATTTGGGTGAATGTTTCTATCTTGATGTGGGTGGCAATAATATAGGTAAACACATCTGTCTAACCTCATCAGTGGATTGAGTGACCCCCCCAAAGTTATTGAAGTTTAGTCCCCACCATGACTGTTAAGAGGGTGGGAAATCCTATTATGGTAATTGAAAGGTGGGGCTTTAAAGAGGTGATCAGAATCCGAGGACCATGCCCTAATGCATGGATTAATAATGGTGGTCATGGGCATGGTTCTGAGGGCTTTAAAAGGAGAGCACGTGAGAGTCTCCCCACCCCCCTGCTTCTGCCATCTCCTAATGTGATACCCTGTGTCACAGAAGCCACCAGCAAGGGAGACCCTCACCATACGTGTTCCCTGGACGTTGGACTCCCCAGCCTCTGAAACCGTAAGCAATAAATATTGTTTCCTTATAAATTACCCAGTTCCAGGTGTTTTGTCATAAGCAACAGAAACGGACTAATACACTCATCAAACTTAATGTCTGTGAGTTTTTATGTACATAATTTTTTTTTTAATTTAAAGGATGGAGGAAAGAGCAATGGGAATGGCAGGTGCAAAGACAAAGAGACATAAAATGGGGCCGGGGGGGAGGTTCAGAGTGTGGGAGCTACACAGGGTGGAGTGAGGGCGAAGTGGCTTTGGGACAAGAACAGGGGTGACAGATCCCATCACTGAGCACTCTTTCAAATGTTGTGTGTATGGATTCATTCCTCAACTCCAGCAACATTGATTTGCGAATCTTCTGTGGTGTATATTCCAAACCAGTCGCCAGGGGACACTAGCATTTCAAATCAAATAGGTCATTCCAAAAATTCTCTGGAGGCATCACATTTCGGGACTGGGGATGTGGCCAGGCTCAGCTGTCTCTTTCCTGAAACATCAATACCAGAGATACCCTCTCCCGCGCTGCATCTACTCAGGAGACTCTAAAAATATTTGCAATCTAGGTAGGGGGGTAAAAAGAGCAAAGAGAGTTTTGCTCCAAAACACAAAAGGAAAACCACAAAACTGAAATCAATAAATGTTTAAAGAAATGACTGCCAAATAGAATATTCTATCAACTTCATTAATTGTTGGCTTTAGCATTTTTTAAAATGCCATTACACCTTTTGAAGATGGCGTCGGGTCTGAGCGGCCGCGCCAGGAGACAGTGCGATCCTGTGAGCCGTGCGCTGTGATACCTGAGT